AGAACTCCCTGCCCCAAGAACCATGGAACGTTAGGTTCAGTTGTTTAAGTCAGCAAACTCACAGAGACACTTTTTTCTGATGTTCACAACAGAAGGTATCTGGGAACTGGCAGCTGCCTGTTCACATCCTTGAACCTGAACTTGAATAATAATGAAAGCAGGACTTTGGGCAGCATTTTAGTAAGAGAGTTCCTACCGTGGCATGTGAGGACTTGGGAACTGAGCATGGGCTAATGTTTGCCTTGGGAAGACGTGAGTCATAATGAAGAGGGGTCGTTGTCCACTGGGGTCTGAAGGCCAACTGATGTCCAATAATGGGGCTATATGCATGGAGGTTTTGCCCTTGTTGACTTTTGACACCCAATGCTGTTCTACAAATAAAGACATCAGATAAGGTTGTTTTAAACCCACAGGAACCCAAGAAGTCTTGGCATAGCATGGGAGGGGTTGGAGCTGGGATTCCACTCCTGGGACTAACCGTGAAAAGGCCACACCCCCTTGGGCAAGCCACTTGACTCCACGCTCTCATTCACAAAGATGTGGGTAATAGTAGCTTCCTTCTAAGGTCATTGAAAGGATTGGATAGGGTGTTAACATGTAAGGCTCCAAGTACACAGTAGGTACTCAAGAAGTCGGTGCAAATATCCTGAAATAGGATTGAGATAAGCCTCAGGAGGATTCGTAAACAGGCTCAAAGGCTTGTTTGTTCAATAAACAAGAGGCTACTGGTGAAGGTCAGCAGGACTGTGGAGGTCAAAATCAATGCTCAGATGATATCAGGTGTTTATCACCGCTGGACGCCACGAGAATCAGCCAAAATTTCTTACCAGTCCTAAGTTAATGTATGGTAGGATAGAACGAATGCTTGCTTATGAGGAACAGAAGACAGGATTGGAATTCTCACTTGTTCTCAGCGTGTAGCTCTTGGTGAGTCCCTGTCACTTCTCCCAACCTCTTCTTCTTCATCTACAAGAACTTTGTAGATGACAAGCATGTGGCCAGGGTGCCATTCCTTCTGCTCTCACACCCATGACAGATGTCCATAATCATTGGTGGCTCATTTTCACCTTTACTCAGAGATGTAGCTTCAGTAAGACTCCAGGAACATTGGAAAGAAATTCAAAATGGCAGTCTCCATGGAAACCATTCACCATCCTGTCCTATATGACCTCTAAAATGTCTTCCAGTTTTCTCATTCTGAACTTTTCCTTGGCGAGAAACTGACGTCATTTTGCATCTTTCAAGGTTTTCGTGGAGTGACTATTTGGGATATCTTACTGTATGAGGTCCCCTCCTGTTCCATGTTCTCCTTTCCCAGACCAGTTATCTATCGTCCTCACTAGGACCCCAGAGTTTGAGATTTTGGTCCTAGATTTAGGTAACCTAGTTCCTAGGAACTGCTCTCTCTTTTTGGAACTCCTAGATGTGTGGTTTGAATATGGTTCCCCCCTACATACACATTTACACATATGTTAATAGTATTAATAGAAAACGAAATCCAACTATGGGGTTTCCAAGTGGAGCCTTTGGAAATTATTAGGTTTAAATAAAGTCATTAAGGTGGAGCCTGATGACTGAGTTCTTTTTTTTGGATTGAACCCAGGGCCTCATGCATGCTAGGCAAGCACTCTACCACTGAGCCACATCTCCAGCCCCCACCCCATGATTGAATACTGATGGCTTCATAAAAAAGAGGGAATGTAAGCAGACACACAGGCATGTGACGTCATGGGTCACCTCAGGACTCTGCCAGCACAAAGGCCATCACCAGAATTGAGCCAAGCCAGTGCCATACCTGTGAATCTCCAAAACTATAAGCTAAATAAATCTCTTCTTTATTAAGTTGCCTCAGGTCTCATATTGCCATTCTTAAAAGATGACTAGGACAATATCCCAGCTCAGGGTTAGTTCATTTCACATATGAGTCATCTCACCACTTCCTCTACCCATTCCCAGGATGGAGGAAGATGCTCCCCCACGAAGAGACAGCGTCCCAAATGCTTCCCCAATCCGTGCTCTCAGGCAGCCCTGGCAATTGCTGGACATGGATGTATCAGATAGAAACTATTAACCATTTCCTCCCACGACAGTGTGCCCAAAGAAACTGGGGAGAAAATTATGAACTAGAAAAACCCAAGTTGTGTGTTTGCATGTGTGTTCATAGATCACAGGCCCTTTGAGAACGGCTGTTAGTATTCAATAGCCTCACCAAGTCACCTCTGCAGCAACCGCAGAATGTGCCTATTCCAAAGAAGTCACCTGGTTTGAGTGGAATGTGGATCTGGGTATCACAGAACTCTGCATGCTAGATGTGCTTCAGTCTTGGGTTTTTTTCTTAATATGCATATTTTTTAAATTGTCAATAGACTTTTATGTTATTTATTTATATGCAGTGCTGAGAAAAGAACCCAGGGTCTCACATGTGCTAGGCAAGCGCTCTACCCCTGAGCCCCAGCCCCAGCCTTCAGTCTTGTTTTTGAGCAGTTTACTCCACCTTTTATGAGCTTGTCTGCAAAACATGACTAACATTTCCTTATGGGGTCATTTTAGTAAATTCTGTATCCCCTCTCCGCCAGAGGACCTTCGGCAGGTAAACAAGAGCAGCTGCTGTCCTTGCACATGCTATTACTATCGCTGTGGTACTCTCCCATATTTACCTTGGGCTTTTCCATAGAGAAGTAAATTACTGCTCATGCCCGGAGACAGTAAAAGGGAGTGCGGAGGCGCTAGGCTCCGAGTCTCCTGCCTTCCTGACTGTGAGCATCCTGTTCCTTCTCCAGAACCAGCTCCGGGCCATATGCCCACAGGAGCCTCTCTGAGTTCCTGGTGGAGGCTTCATATTAGTGAATTCTAGTGGAATTCTGTTTGTTCCAGAGAAACTTTGTCAACTCAGGGATTTTCAATCAATTCAGGATCAGAGTTTCTCCTACACCCTCACCCACTACCCCAACGGCATTTGAGGATAGACATAACAGGCATTGATGGCCTCAAGCAAGAAATGGCTCTTGAAGGCCCTGACTAGATGTCCTCTTCCCTATTCCCCCTTCAATACCCACCCATGGTCAGACATATAGCAGGTGCTTCAGAAGTGGGTGGGTGGGTGGATGGATGGATGGATGGATGGGCAGGAGGATGGATGGATGCATGGATGAATACATGGATGGATGGATAGATGGATGGATGAACAGGTGGATGGATGGATGAGCAAGAGAGAGGGACAATGAGAAAGCAGTTCACTGGTAGAGGATATGTCTGTCCTTCCTCCTGAGTACAGTGTGAACCTCCTTCTTCCACTGCTAGTGAAGCTCAGGAGTCTCTGTCCCTCGAGTTCCCTATGCCCCATTAAGCACCACCCAGTATAGCTGGAACATTTGCCTGAGGAAGGTACAAGCTGAGCTTCCCATATGACTGTCACCACCAGGACTGGCAAGTGATATTTGCTACCCACTCAGCCCAGGACAGCTGCCCAGAGAGGCCAGATCCAAGGGCACTGTGGATGCATCAGACTCCCAGTACACAATCTGTAAGTAAAAGTTGTTTTCGCTCTGACCCCTAGGGCTCCCAGTTTACCCCTGGGGAGAGAACTCCCTGCATGGCTGGGGCAGTAGCTGGGGTGCAGTCTTACAGAGCTGTGGGTGCAACAGGACCTGGAGGGTTCATGAGCTTGCGAATCTTATTGCAGATGAACCCCTGACCTTTAAATAGGGGGCCAGTAAAGAACAAAAGAAGCCCCACCCTCTGGAGGCAGTAGACCTGGGCTGGAATCCCAGCTGGCGCATCGGCCCATGTCAACCTTGCATAGGCCCCTTGACCTCCCTGGGGTCACTTTTTTGCAGGGGTTGCGTGTGAGGATGGAATGGAGCCACCCATGGGGTACACGCCCTTAATGAAGAGAAGGTTAAAGGAAAGGGAGGCACCAGAGGTGGGTGAAGGCGGGGGCTGCTCTGAGCTGGAGGAGCTCAGAGGAAACAGAGAGGGCTGGAGCCACAGGGGAGGGAGGCAAGGGCCGCTGGCTGCCTGCAGCTGAGGCAGCAAGGGAGCTGAATGGACACCAGGTCCCCTGCTCTTGCCTGGCCTCCCACACCATGGGCAGGAGAGCCCAGCCCTCTCCAGACACAAAGGGCTGAGAAGGGCCCAGGAAGGAATGGGTTTGGCCAACAGAGTTAGGAGGGTGATGGAGATTTGGCTGTGTGTCACACACACTGAGGACATACTATACACAGAGCGTGCTACTCCAACTAGAATCCAAAGAAGTCTGCAAGCCCAGCAAGGGCTCCTTGTCCCTAGCACCTATATTTCCCCGAACACCTGCTGTTCACACCTCAAGCCTCGCACAGGTCCACGCGGCAGGTGTACAGGAGACCTCTGGTCTCCACTAGGGAGGGACAGGAAGTTGTGTGTGACAACACTGCAGAGCAAGCCAGAGTCGGGCTTCAAGTACCAGTCTGTCCACAAAGCCCAAGCTGTACCCGAGGACTCCCTGTTCCCTGGGAGTCACCACTGAAGTTGATCCTATGGGCCCTGGATGGAAGGGCAGAGCAGCAGGGGCCCTTTGGGACGACATGCCCTGATGGACTGTGTGGCCTAGCTGGGTGACGACGGTGCTGTGTCTCTTTGTCTAGGATGGCATACCCTATTCTGTCTCTCTGGCTGCTGGTGACCAGGCTGGGTCCTCATGCCTATGGCCAAAGTGCACCTGCCCAGGAAAATCATACAACCCCAGTGGACGGGCCAACCTCCTCCCCCTTCCTGGACAATTCCCACTTTGCCTTCAGCCTGTACCAACAGTTGGTGGCCCCAGACCCAGATAGGTATGTGCTCTTCTCCCCACTGAGCCTTTCCGTTCCCCTCACACTGCTAGCCCTCCAGGCCAAGCCAAAAGCCCGCCCCCAGATTCTGCAAGATCTGGGGTTTCATCTCGCTGAGGTCCCAGAGAGCAGGATGCATGAACACCCCAGTCAGCTCCTGGAAGCCCTCCTGTCACCCCTGGGGCGTGCCGGATGGATACCGGCAGCATGCTCTTTCTGGGTCAGGGTCGAAACCCAAGGCGGAAGTTTGCCCAAAGAGCCCGGAGTCTGTACCGCACGGAGATCCTCGCCACGTCCTTCAAGAACTACCGGGTGGCCAGGCATCAGATGGACCTGGCCATGGAGAAGAAGACCGGGGGCAAAATCAAGACCTTTTTTGAGGGGATGAAGATGCACTCGGTTTTGATTCTGGCAAATTATATATTCTTTAAAGGTAAGTGGCCTCTATTGACCTCCCTGCAGGTTATCGCAAAGTTAAGCCCTGTCCTGTCCAAGGTGGAAATGTCCCCTGCCCCTGCCTGGAGTTGCCATTCCTCTGACTTCAGCCTACCTCCTCCGGGGTCTTTTCTGCATAGCTACGGCCCCCTCTTCCCTCCCTGTCCTAAGCAGAGCTTTAGAAAGGGACACCTTCCCGCAGGACCAACTGCATCATCTGTAGGGCTGAGTGACAAATGAATATGAGGGACCCTTTGTTCCAAAGGCATCTGTCAAGATGGTGACCGCTATGTGGTGCACTGCCTGTAGGGTTCTGTGGACAGACTTGGAGCCAGCCCAGCTCACAGGGGCCAGTGCCCCCAGCCACCCGGACAAGTCTCGCTTCTGAGACGACAACCCGCCCTGTCAAATCCTTTGATCAAACTGCCTCTTGCCAACCACCAAAGAAACCACTTGTGGAGCCAGGGAACCTCGTCCCCCCACAGCCACCTTGCTGGCTGCATGGGCTGTTTTACCAACCCCCGCCTCCCCCCGGGGGCTGAGCGGCTCTCCTGGCCCTCCCTTGCCCTCTGGCTCAGTGCACCTGCCCGTCACATGCAGCCCTTTGCATTGCTGGCTCTGCTGAGAGTCCCCTCAGCCACTCCCTCCTCTCAGTCGGCAGTCTCCTCAGGTGAGCTGAGCCAAAGCTGCAGCCTCTCACCCTCCCACACACTGAAGACCCCCAGCTCTCTACACCCAGACCCCCATCCCCACCAGCCACCTGGTCATCTCCTTCTGAGAGCAGCACCCCAAGCGTGGCATGCTCCAAACAGAAAGCATGTCTTGCCATCACCTCCTCCGCCCTTTAAGTCTCCCTCTTCCTACTCCTTTCCTCCAAATCTCAACTCCTGCCCCAAGCCAAGACCCTGAGTTCCCCTCACAGGGTCTCCCTTCTCTCCTGCACAATGTACCTGAGCCGCCACCGCACACTGTGGACTTTCCCTCTCCGTGGCTCTTCGACCAGACCATGGCCCTCTCCATGGCCGCTGTTCTCGCTCAGGTTACTCTGCCATCCACTCAAATCATTGCAACGGCTTCCGAACGGGTCCTCTGTGTCCTTGGCTTTCCTGCCCACGGACTCCCTGATCCAGTGTCCACCCTGGAAAGGTCATCCTTCTAGAAGCCAAATCTGACCTTGAGCTTCACTGCCTAATCCTTTCAGTGCCCAGCCCAGTTGGGACCCTCAGGATGATGCTTCATGCCTGCAGGAGGAACAGTCCCCCAGTGACCTTCCTACCCCAGGCTAGGGAGAATGGCCCCCCCCCCCCCCCCGCCGAAGAGCACCATCTCTCTTGCTTGAGGGTCTTTTTGTGGCCACCTGTTACTGCCACCTCTCCGCCTCTTCCTGCCAGTAGGCATACCCTTCAGGACTCAGCCTGGGAGCCACTGCCCCTGGGGAAGGCTCCTGGACAGCTTTAGGGACTGACTGCCAGCTTTAGGGACTGACTGCCGGCTTTAGGAACAAACCAGCCGCATCAGAGGGGGGCTCTCACTGAACAATGCTCACTTCCTGAAATTCCCATTTGACTGGTCACCCCATATGTGATCTGGTGACCCTTCCCATCACCACCAAAGTGGGGGATGTTGTTTGTGCTTTGAGCATGAAGACTTTGGGGTCTGAGCAGCTGCTTTGTGCCAGGAGTCACACTCAGGACTTTGCTTTCACAAGTGTCCTTTAAGGAAGCTACACCACCCCCAGTTGTCACAGGAGGAAATTGACAGACCCGTCTCTCCCTGGCCTCACCTCCCACACCCTCTCTCACTCCTTCTGCTCCATGACAGGACCACTCCTGCCACTGGGCCTTTGCACAGGTAATTTCCTTTCTTGGGGGTTCTTGCCCAGGTATTCCATGGCTCAGTCCCTTGGCCTCTTAAGTCTTCACTCCATGCCACACTCTCAGGAAAGCTTTGTATGCGATTGTAACTGTCCTTCCCTGACATCTCGTGTTTCCCCTGACTTTATTTCTCTCCTTAGCACACATCACCATCGGGCACACTTATTTTCTTATTCGTCTTGTTCCTTGTGAGCCCTGGGGTGTAAGATCCATGTGGACAGGGACCTCTCCTGTGTGCCTGTATCTTCTGCCACAAGGACAGTGCCTGGCTCATAGCAGCTCCTCCCAAAGTATCTCCAAATGATTGGCATCATGCCCGTGGACACTGCCGGTCCCCTCTGACACCCACATGCTCTCTCATCAGGGAAATGGAAGTACCGCTTTGACCCGAAGGACACTAGGATCATGCCCTTCTCGGTGAGCAAGGAGCTCAGCGTCCCGGTGCCCATGATGCAGAGGCTGGGCTGGTTCCAGCTGCAGTACTTCCGCCACCTCCACAGCCACGCCCTCCAGGTGCCCTGCGTCTGCAACACCACTGCTCTCTTCATTCTTCCTGAGAAGGGGACGGTCGCCCAGGTGGAGGAGGCGCTGATGAAGGACAATTTGGACAAGTGGACTGAGCCCTTCCCACTGAAGTAAGTCCCCAGATGTGTCCGCCCCCCAGTAGCACATGCCTCTCCCGAGAGCCACCGCTAACCCTCTGCAGCGGGGAGTGAGGCCCTGCTGCTCTTGGGGCCAGGACATGAGGGTTTGGAACTAGGTCACACCCTGATTGTCACACAGGACTCAGCCCTCCACTTCTCTGAGAGAAGGGAACAGGGCTTCAAAATCATCACCATCCACGTCATCGCATGTCACCACCTGACGCCTCCCTTCAGATTACAGATCACCTTGGCATTTGGAAGCCACGAGAACCTGTAAAGAAATGAGGGATGTTTAACTTAGTGCTTCCCGGACAGGATTTGCACATAGGACCCAGACAGCCACAGTCCCGTGGAGCCCACAGCCTGTGGCTGCCGAGGGTCTTCCCTCCTGGCTCAGCGGCTTCATCGACTGGGTATCAGTATCACACCCCACTCCCAGTTAGGACAACCAAATGCGTCCCCAGTCATTGCAGACCGGCATCATCTGGGAGTCCAAGTGGCTCTTGTCCTAGACCATAAATCATGCGGGTCACTGGGTTCTGGAAGGTGGGTCCTGGGCACCGCTGCAGCCCCGAGTCTTCATTCACCTCCAGATGCCCCGCAGGTCCCAGCGTGAGCCCCACTGAGCTCCCCCTGGCAGGGCCTTCTCATCTCCCCCAAGGCCCTTCCCCTGGAGATAGCAGGGAGCTTCCAACACAGCTCCCTATGGCATGGTCCCCCAGGACACCCCTGGGTTGTCAGGAGGCTCCAGCTAGCAGAGGCTGCCTGGGAGTCACAATGAGGGGAGGAGGCACACTTTCTTGGGGCTGAAGCAGAGACACTAAAGCTGGGAAGACACATTCTCAGCGCACAGTCATCCCTGAGCCTATGCGCACAGAGCCGCCCTCTGACCGCCATGCAGGGACACTCCCCACAGGGGCTAGTCTTTGTTTTCTGATTTCTGTGGTTTTCTTCCCCTCTCCTAACCTTATTGCTGTCATTGAAAAACAACAATTGTCTATAGTTGCGGAGGCCACCATGTCTCAAGGTACACGGACATGGTGAAATGTTTAGGACAATCCAGCTCATTAGCACATCCATCACCTCACACGGGTGCCTTTCTTTGTGTGTCTGGTGAGAACTCTTAAGCGCTGCTCTCGGCCAAGTTCAAGCATGCAGCACAGTATGAACCCCTCCCCTCCCCAGGCTGCACAAGAGAAATCCAGAACCATTCATTCTGCCTGACTGGCACTTGGCCCAACCTCTCCCATCCCCCTCCCAGCCCAGGCAACCACCCCTCCGCTCTCGGCTTCTGGGAGAGTGACTTCTCCACCTGTGAGCGAGATCATCTCCCCTCCTGTGGTTTTGACGTGCAGACGTGGAAAGGTGAACATGGGAGGCGGCAGGAAGGTGGGGCTCAGCCCTGCCCCAGCACGCAGGGCCCTCGAGGTTGGGCCTTCACAGGAAGGAAGTGTGATGAATCTCTCTGTCCACTGGACCCCGGGGGGCCACAGCCAGCAGAAATACCCGAGGCTTTGGGGTCAATGCCAGCTTTTTAGAAACCGTGTGACTCTGGGCAAACTCCGAACCTCTTCAACCACCCCCATTTTCTCATTTGTGAAGTGGATACTCTGGGCACCTAGCCCCAGGAGCACCATGAGGATAAAATGGAACCTTCTGGAGGCTGCCTGGCCTGGACCCGGTGGTTTCAGGCTCACGGTAAATGTGGCTGAAACGAGTCTTTCTCTACTATTCTGAAGTGAGGCTGCGGCGGGGGACAGTGTATTGGAGGATGTTATTTAAGTTTGGTTTTCTTTTCTCATTCTCCCGAGTAGCAGGAGGAAGTTGTATTTTCCCAAATTATCCCTGAGTGGGAATTATGACCTGGACAAGCTGGTGCTCTCACCCAGCGGCCTGAATATGTTTGGTTACGGCATAGGCCTCTCGGGAATCTCTGTGCAAACCATCCCCATAAAGGTCTCTAAGGTAAGTTAAAGCCTGGAGTCCAGGGTTTTTACACCAGTGCGCAGGTTTGCCCACTTCCTTGTTCACTGAGCAGCATCCCTGGGGCTCACAGGGCTGTTCTGGCTCCTGGTGAGGTTGGAGGCAGAAATGGAGAACTGCAGCACCCAGTGGTGGTGAGGATGGCTGTTCCTCGGAGAGGGCTGAACCTGGGGAGGAGGGTGCTCCTGAGCTCACCGCCTGCTCTGTTGGGAGAAGGAGCTCTGGGGGCCTCAAAGCCGGATGTGTGTTTGCAATGCTGACACCTCCTAGGGACGGGGGGTTGCCCTGGTGGTTACGTAAACATGGGGAGAGGGAGTTACGCAAGGAGGGTCCGGCTGCAGAAGAAGGTTACATACGGATGTGCGGTGGGAATGGGCATCGTTACCCAGGGAAGGGGCAGCAGAGTGAGATCCCCAGAGAAGGGGTCCTGAGGATACAACACCTCTGTGGGACGCTCCAAGGAACAGGAAGAGGAAATGCCCAGAAATGCTGGCTAACCTTGGGAAAAGGAAGTTGGGGAGAAGAGGGATGAGCCCATGGGGCATGGCAAGGGCTGTGGGTGCAGCTCCTAGAACCAGTTACTGAAGGATCCTGATCACCAGACTAGTGCTCTGAGCTGACCCAGTGAGGCGGGAGGGGGACCACAGGGGCTTCGAGCAGGAAATGGCTGGCTGGATCTGCACTTTAGGGAGCCCTGGCCCATGCAAGTGGACGGCTGCAGAGCTTCCTGGAGATGGTAGACAGGACAGACCAGGTCGTGCCTCTAGTCTTCTGGGCCCAGCTCAGAGTGAGGGTCAGGGTGGTGCCTCCTAGGGGAAGGGGCTATTCCTGCTCAGGTTGACACTGTGAACCTTGGTCCCCAAAGGCAGTGCACAGGGTGGAGCTGATCGTGGATGAGGAAGGGACAGATGAGGAAAACGTCGCCAGCTTCAGGTACTTTCCCAAGCACCAGATCCCGGCTGTTCACTTCAACAAGCCCTTCCTGCTGCTCGTCTATCAGGCAGGCAGCCACAACCTTCTCTTCATGGGGAAAGTGATAAACCCCACCGCACCCTAGAGTCAGGTGACAGGAGGGCCTGCCTGCTCCTCCTCCTCCCACCCAGCCCCCGTCTTCCCATGGCTCCAAGAGAAAATGGAAAACCAGCCCCGGGTTCATTGGCACAAACGCACGACTATGGTTCCATCTTCTGGGTCTTTGCACAAATCCCCCTGAGTGATTGTCCTCATTTCACAGACAGCAAATCAAGGTCCAGGGCACAACTTTGCACACTCAAAGGCCAAATTTCCAGGCCCAACACCTGGGAATTTGGCCTTCCTGTGAGGATCCTAGACCTGGTCCCTCTCCTGGCAATCCCTCTCCTGGCCTCTCCCTAGCTTCATTTTCTCTGCTGATTACTGGACTTTCCCCTCTCTTCCGATTTCCTCCAACCCTCACCACCTGGAGTACAGGGAAGCTGTGTTTCTCTGTTGAATTGGTTAAATAAACTGGCAAATGACAACCTTGCAGGTGGTGTTCTGGTTTTATTGGGAAGGCTGTCTCCCTGGAAGGACCTGGAGGTTGCTGGGAGTGGCCTGGGAACACGTTTGTGAGACCCAGAGAGGCAGGACCATCCTTGTCATTGCTGCCTGTGGCATCTGACAGCTCCAGGAATCCGCTGAGCCCCTCTCCTTCATAAGTGCCTGAGAAGGAGAGCATGCCTGGGACTTCCCAGGGTCTCTCTGATGAGAGCTGCACAACGCTGTGTCACATTCGAAGGCCATCTGCCTATCTCAGCTTGGTTCCTGCAAGGGACGACCCAGCACAAACACTCCCTGAGCCCATCCAACCCATTCTCCCCAAGAGGAACCCTCTTTCCTGAGAGGACAGTGCAGGGCAGGCAGACTGTCCACCAGAGTCTCCATCTGACCTTCCGTCCTCCATAAATCATTCGAGTCAGTGGCCATCGGGTACCAACTGCATGCAAGGTTGCAGGACACCAAGACAGTCATCTCCAAGATGCAGGTGTGAGTGACACCCTGCCAACCCGCAGCCACGCTGGGTACAGGGACAAATGTTCACCGTGTGATATATTCTCTTGCTCTACACATGGGGACCCTGTTTTAATTGGCAGGTGTGTCCCATGGAGCTTTAAGCAGAGTGGGCGAGCAGCCCGACACTGGCCGAGTCGACCTCACTGGGGGAGGGGAGAAGGATGCGGCTCAAATGATGCCAAGGGGCAGGTGCGGCCAGTCGATGGGAACCCGCCAAGCCTGGACTGCCATGGCGGTCTCTCCACAGACACCGTCCTGTAAGCCACCTCTACACGCTCAGCTGTTCCACTGTGACCTCAGCCTCCTCTCTTTCCAGCACATTCCTCTAGTAGCCAACTCCAAAGATCCTTCAATCCCACTGGGATACACGACCCAGGGACTCGTCTGATTGTCCCTTTGCTTTCTTCTCTGGGGTCCTCACTTGCTCTGGGATCAATCCCATCCTGAGATCCTCTGTTCTTCTCTGGTTTTCTCAGTCACTCGGCAAAGCCTCCCGACCCTCTCCCTGTTCCAAGCTCCAGCCACTGGATGTGGCTAGTGAATGGCACACACTAAGTGCTCCATCTCACCTCAAGATCACTAATCTCAAAGACAGCTGGGGTCCCAGAGGGCAGCGACTCTGCAGCCCTCTCATGGCCCACTGTCCTGTGCCTCTGCCTCCCAGTCCTGTGGTCCCAAATCCCTCTCAGCTGATGACCTCACTGCCTCTGCACTGGCAAAATACAGGGGTTCCCCTGCCGGCCCACCCACCACCACTCAGGGCCCTGCTGTCCCTCCCGTTGCACCAGGTGGCCTGCCCTGTCCTCACTGAGGCCAGTCCATGCAGGACTGCGTTCATCTCGCTCACTCAGACAACGCCCAGCTCTCCCCTCCTCTCCTCTCCCCCCACCCACATCTTCCCCGTCTCTGGGCTTTTCCTATCAGGATATGAATACACTATTGTGGCTTTCTTATTAAAACAGAGATCGACGGACAGGTAGATTCATAGATGACAGATGGACAGATACATAGATGGATAGACAGATAATCATTTTCCCTTCCAGCTAACACACTACTGCTTGAGAAAGTTATAGATTGTTTTTTTAATCCAAATTAGGGTACCTGGCCACCCCAGTCTTCCTGAGACGGCAAGGGTCCCAAGACATAGGAGTTTGAGTTTTGTAACTGGAAGTCACAAGATGCAGACTTCCCTGCTAGAATTAAGGACGTTTTCCAGATCACAGGTTGTTCAACCCACAAAATCCTCTTTTGGGGCAGGGGTGCAGCTCAGTGGTAGAACACTTATCTAACAGGCACAAGGGCCTGAGTTCAAGCCCCAGCACTGCAAAAAGAGAAGAAAAGAAAAGAAAAATCTCTTTTCATTGTTTTGAACATACTCCTCCGTAGGGTTCCCTCCCTGTCCCCAAAATGATAAACTGGACTTCACTAAACTAAAATGTTTATGTCAGGGCCAGGCTGTATGGGCAATGAGCAAACAGATTCCATTTTACCCTGAGACTCCACGTCATGTAAGAAACGCTTCTCCCGTGGGAAAGCCCCACCTCTGCACCCATTATTAGTCACCTAGCATAACATACTTGGCAACTCAAAATAGCAATTCTTACACAACGTAAAATTGTTCTCTTTGGCTTCCATTTTTCTTGGGCAATGTACCTTGTCGGAGATTGATTGTCTAGATGTTAGTAGCCATTCTCTAACCTGTGCTCAACTAGGGTCATTTTGACCCACTTCCCTTCTGCTGGCTTGCTGCTATGCCAACCTGGAAAGACCCGTGGGAAACACCAATGCACCCATTGCATTGTCTCGCTAACTGCCCGATTCTGCTTCTGTACCTGCTTGCTTGCAGCTATGTCAACCCAGATGTGGTTTTTGCCTTTAAATATCCTAAAATGCTCAGTCTCGGGGCTGTTTCTTGCAGAGACAGTTATGGGTCCTGCAGGGGGCAGTCCCTGGCCGACCAGCTAAATAAAGACTCTTCCATTTGGACAAACTGGGACTCCGTGTGTTTTCTGAGCGACCTGCCCCACAACAATTACACTTCAAAGGATACTATTGGGAAGATGAAGGGACAAGCCACAGTTGCTCACAGAGTGAAACAGTCTTGTATCCATCAATAATCATCCTAGACTTACTCATCCCACTTGAAAATGTCACCCACACAAAAGCCCGTACCCCAATTTTTGCACCAGTTTTATTCATAATCACTAAAAACTGGGAGCAACCAAGATTTCCTTCAACAGATGAATGGTTAAACAAATTGTGGTACATGCAAACAAAGAAATGTCATTCAGCAATCAAGATAAAGTGACAAGAAAGGACCTGTGAGATCACGAGAGAGACACAGGGGCCTTAAATACAAGGTGCTAAATGAAAGAAGCTAGTCTTAAAATTAGCATATTACAGTAACTCGGCCACATCCATGTTTGTAGCAGCTGAATTCACAGTAGCTAAGCTATGAAGCCAATGTAGGTGCCCTTCCAACAGATGAATGGATAAAGAAAATGTGATATAATGACGTTTTAGTCAGCCATGAAGAAGAATGACCTTATGGCATCTGACAGTAAATGAGTGGATCTGGAGACCATCGTGCTAAGTGAAGTAAGCCAATCCCAAAAAGCCAAAGCTCAAATGTTTCCCCTGATACATGAAAGCTAACACACAAGGGGGCAAGGGAAGAATAGAAGTTCAATAGATTAGGTAACGGGGAAGGAGAGGAGGGGATAGGAAGAGAAAGACAATGGACTGAAACTGACATCACTCCCCCACGTCCTTAGATGAAATCCACACAGTGAATCTCACCATCACGAATGCCCACAAGAATGGGATCTTAACTAGAAAAAGACCTTCTCCGTGCTTGTATAATTCTATCAAAATGGATTCTGCTGTCCTGGGTAACTAAAAAGAACCAATACATTTTTAAAAATTAAAAAATAAAAAAGAAGCTTATCTGAAAGGTCAGTGCTGTGCGATTCCAGGTATGGGGCCTTCTGGAAAAGGGGAAACCACTGTGACAGCAAAAAGACCAGCCCTTGTCAGGAGTGCCCAGGGCCAAGGAAAGGACCAGATAGGGGAACGCAGGGGCATGAGGTAAGGTGGTTCGTGACGCTAGCCTTTGTCAAAACCTGTAAGACTTTACAGCACAAAATATGAATCTGAAAATAGACAAGCAAAAAAAAAAAATCATTGAGGAGCTGGGGGATCTCAGGATGGAAAGTAAAGTGTGGCAAACAACCCCATCATATTACAAAAGTATGAAGCGACTTCACTGAGGGGTGGGGTTGCTGACCTAGAACCCCTGGGAGTGAGCAAGTGTGCAAGGCCAGAGGTAAGCAGGTGGCCGCTGAGCAGTGCCTTCTAGTCACTACAGCTGTTCCCCACAGGGGACAGGTTGACCATGCAGATTCCACTGCACCTGTGTCCAGGAACTCATGGAGTGGGGAGGGTGATTCTAGACAAGAAAGAGGAAACCAAGATGATCCGTGGCATAGACTGGAGATTCCAGTGTGAATTTCAGCATTAATGTAGATGGAGATGATGGCACAGGTAAATGCTTGTAGATATGTGTAGGGAAGCAAGTGTGTGTGCACGCATGTACACAAATGAAGAGGGTCTATGGGCAAGGGTGCCTCAGTAGCAATGAGCACACACAGCACCAAGACCTTGCTCTCCAAAACCATTCTTCAACAAAAGCAACCAGGACGCCTTGGAGAAATCGCCAATCCTAGGACCAGGGTGGGAAGTACCTAAGATGGCCCTGGAGCACCCTACATTGCTAGAAAATAATGAGCACTTTGCACCAGGGATTGAACACAGGGGCACTTCAGCGCTGAGCCACATCCCCAGCCCTTTTTTATATGTTATTTAGGAGACAGGATCGCACTGAGTTGATCAGGGCCTTGCTAAGTTGCTGAGGCTGGCTTTGAACTCTCTCGATCCTCCTGCCCCAGCCTGCCAAGCCCCTGGGATTACAGGTATGCACCACTACACAGGCAACAAGGAAGTACTTTAAAAACCCTGTCCATGCTG